CTAGGTTGTATTTTAGCATAAAACACACCCTTTCATCTACTAAAAGGTGAAGGAAGTCATGGTGGTTTTCTGTTACTACTGCAGACAAATGACTTAATGATGCAAAAGGAACAGGAAAGATAATCCTAAATGCTTCATTAAGATTAAGGATTCCTATGCATTTTTTTTTCACTAGTCTAAAGTGATCTCCAGCTGGTTAAAATCTGGTGGAAACCTCAATGAGCCTGAATCTAAAACATGGTATATAAAGCACTGTCTGGGGATCAAAAATTGGTCATCACACAGGCCTGAGTTGAGTCCCACGGCAACCTGCAAGTTATGGTGATGAAAAATTATCCTGATTTCCAGTTCCTAATATGTAAGTCAGTACAATAACAGGACAGTTCCAAAGTTTAAATGATGACATATTTCAAACACTTAGCCTACAGCTTAGGACCACATTTGATATATTTTTTCTCTAGCCTTGTGTCTTAGAATGGGTATTGGTTCTGATGGTTTTAATACAGGACCAGATTCCCCACTGCTCTCATCCTTTCCTTTCCCTCTGAAGTTAGATAGTGAGGGGTCCTGGGAGTGCCTAGAGAACTACTGTCCATATGCTCTGGCACTTTACACCAGATTGTCTAAGCTTGGGCGCTTTCTCTTCTTCTTAAACATTTCTCATTGAAGTTCAAAGACTATAAGTCTTCCCAAGAATCTGAGCCATAGTCACAGTTTATGATGTCATGTTTGTTGTAATGCTTTGTTGTAGTGGGTGAAATATTCCCAACCTTGACCATTGCTCAGATGTTCAAGAATTATAAGAGGAAGTCAAGCTCCACTCTTCTGTAAAACACAGCAGAGCAACTAGAAGTAGTCCCACTAGGAAATTAAAACATGTAAAGCTAAAAGAATACCTCTATCTTTAGATCATTAAGTGATTTGAGTAGGACTTTATCCCCCAAAGATAATTTCAAGGTTAAAAAAAAAACAAATAAAAAACTAGCTACATTTTAATCCATGTTATAACTCTAGCCATGGACTTTTAAATTTTACTCATCATTTTCATGTTCTGGTAATTGGACTGTATTATGATCAAGGTGTAAAGTTATGGTTTAGTGGTTCTTTTTCCTCAAAAAGTTAATCTTAAAACAAGAGTATATCCTGAAACTGGTGGAGTCTTAGACTTATGGGACTATGAAATTCTAAAGTTTGATTACTTTGTGATCATGTCATCTAAAATATTGATGGGCAAAAAACATATATATACATATATATATATAGGTATGAGGTAATCCAAAAGACTTCATTAAAATTATAATACATTTACATATGAGGAAAAGAACCACTGATCATTCATATCTGGACATTTTTGTTTCAGTGTGATTTTTAAAAAAGGTCTCTAACATTTCAAATATGATAGGAATTAACTATATTTGTAATAGCAAAAGACCCCCAAAAAGAAAAAAATCCCTTTACTGTGGTCTGGGATTTGAACTCAGGGCTTTCTACTTGCCTAGCAGGTGCTCTACCATTTAAGCCACATCTCTAAGACTTTTTGCTCTATTTTTTTGTTTGTTTTGATTTGGGTCATGGGGCCTGGGCACTGAGCTGTTTTGCTGCAAGGCTTCTGCTCCTCCACGTTGAGCCACAGCAACACTTCTGATTTGCTGGTGGTTAATTGTAGAGAGGAGTCTCGTGGAATTTTCCTGCTGGAGCTGGTCATGATCCTAAGATTGCAGCCTCCTGAGTAGCTGGGATTATAGACGTGAGCCTCCAGTGCCCCACTCTGTTTTTTTGTTTTGTTTTGGGTTTTTTTTTTTGAGATAAGGTCTTACTTGTTGTTAGGGACACCCTGGACCACACATATTATGCATCCCAGTGTAGCTGGAATGTGAAGTGTGTGTATCTGTATCTAGCTGTTGGTTGAGATGGGATCTCATGAGCTTTTTCTCCCCATTGAATTGGTCTCAAGCCATAATCCTATGGATCTCAGCCTCTGAGCAGCTACAATTACAGGCATAAGCTACTACACCCAACTTCAGAAACTCCTTCAGTTACTTTCAGCATGTCTCTTTCTTTTGAGGGTTCCTGTGACTGGCTAGTGCAGCAGTAATAACTGTCCCGGCTAGAGGGTAGGATTGTACTTCTATATTCCATAAGTTCCTACACACCACTCAACACATCTGACATATATAGGACAGTGCTGGGTACACCTCTATTATTCAATAAACACCCCCTGAATTACTGATATGAAATAGAAAACAGTTCTAACTGCCTCCCCCTACCCCCTCTACTGATTGGAAAATCTTGAATTCTAAAATTGTTTCCTCTTTCCTTTCATCCTACCAAAAACCTTTTGAGTTAATTTTGAGTAAAATTAAATTACCAATAAATCAAACCCTAAGGGCTCTTTTTCTCAGAAACAATATAAAAGGCCATATATAATATGTAATAAACTTGAAAGCGACCACACCTAATGGTGATAGATTGCTTCACAAACACACATGGATTATAAATGGTAACTGCAATGCCAAGTTAATACAAACAATGAAGTGTGACTAAAAAGCTGATAATATAAAAACATTGATCACAGGATAATTTATCTAAGACTACTGAAATTACTGACAGTGATTATCTTTAGAACTCTGACTTATCAACTCCTTGGCAAGTTGGCTTACAAATATTTTAATCCTTTTAAACTGGAAAACAATAACTGGGGATAGAAATGTAAAAAAGCAAAGATATGTGAGAAAGTGATTTATCTTAACATGACTAATCTTAATTTTTAACAAAAAAAATCCCTTCTGATCTCTGCAGTTTACATTTGCAAAAAACAAAGTCCTTTGAACCTTGACATTACAACAGGCAGATAATCACCTATTATATCTTAAAGTAAACATTATTTGTATGTCTATTATTCACAAACTATGATTAAAAAACACACTCCATTTATTATTAAATCCACCTTATTTGCTACCTAATTCCATCAGAGCTACTCAAAGACATTAGAAACACAGGGCATATTATAGACAGGAAGAATAAAATAATTTTGTCTTTCTTTTTGTAAAACTTATCTATAAACTGAAAAACATAATCAAACCCAAAGTACCATACAAGCTCTTTGCTTTTTTCCTTTGAGTATATTAATATACTCAAATTTCTTTTTCACATTGAAGACAGGAAATTTTTATTAAGGTACATGGGATTTACCACCAGGATTCCTACATATGGCAGTCATATACCTAAGTAATATTTTACAAATATTTCACGTTTTCAAGTTACAAAAGGGATGACACATTTTAGCTTGGTATCTATATTTAGTAATTACTGATTTGGAACTCTTATATTTGCACCTTTCCAATAATCATGTTTAAGATTAAAAGGCAATGCTGGCATGGTAGTGGATGCTTGTAATCTCAGCACTTTGGAGGCTGAAGAAATAGAATTAGGAGGCTGAAGCCAATCTGAGCTAAATACTGAGTTCCACACCATTTTGGGACACATAGTCAGGATTTTCTGAATAAATAAATAAATAAGTAGCAAAGGAAACTTGCCTCCATGTTACCTTTCTATGTTTAACTGATTTATAAACTCTTGCAAGTAAGCTCATTCAAATAAAGTGAATTCTATCAGATTATGTGAAGGTTGACATTAAAACCCATGCTTAATTTGTTAGTAAGGAAGACCTTACTGGAAATGCACATCAACTTTCCATTCTGGAAAAGCAACTCAGCAACAGAAAGAGTCAAAAAGGATTTCATTTAATTAGTGGTATGTAGAAGTTTGCATAGAAAATGGTTACAAGATAATGCAAAAAATAACAACTAGATATAGCATTTTAAAAACAAATATTTAGAAGTATAATTTTGTATAATGTTAAACATTCTCATGTTTATTGCTTTCTCCACACAGCGGAGAAATGAAGTGCATTATAATACATGCCGTGTCTTTATCTTTCAAATATAAAAACCCATGTGTTCAATTTCAATGTATTAAGAGATTATTCTGTCATTAAACATTTTTTTAAAAAACACCATTTATGTAGCACTAGACTAGGCATGGACCAAAATAATTTATGTACATTCTGCTGCATACATTCATCTTGATTTGGGATCAAACGCTGTCACTAACTTGATCAGGAACACTGAAAAATTGTGGCTTTTTTCTTCCCAATGCTCTCTCCTTGCCTCAATACTCCCAGAAATGCAAGATTTCCCAAAAAAAAGAATAGATATTACATGTTACCAGAAGAAAGTGAAGAGGATAAATATATTAAAAATAGTCCAAATGAAACAATAAATTACTCCAAAATCTTACACGCTGAGAAGTTTCCAAGTTGGCATGAACCGACCTTTGGTGGGCACACAGTAGGCAACTGCTTTTGGGCTCATTATACAAACGGTCAGATGTATATAAAGAAGCACCATAATTTGAACCATCCAACAACAACAACAAAAAAGTGCCTGAGGGCTTATAGGCAAAGTAGAAATGCTCATTAATCTGGGTACTGAGAGAAATTATTGCTTCATTGCTTACACCAATGCAGTGTTAAATGTCCCTGCTTGACAACACAGTATACAGAAAATAAACTAAGATCAAACTAAGTCTTTCAACTTGGGAATTATTTCAGCACTCTTCTCGAACAATATAATCTCTGGTTTCAACAGAGTCTTCTATCCTGGCAATCATATGCAACCTAATCTAAGACCTCTGTCCCTTTTCTCTATGCTCATTTTGACTTGTGCAATGGCACATATCCAGAAGAAAAACCTTCTTTAGCTCAGCACTTAGAAAACAGAATTTTTTTCCCCTTCTAGTTGTAAGAGACTTCAGTCATAGCATTTTTCTTTCCCAACTCAGATGTACGGATGTACTGCTGGATTGTACAGTCTACACATTCCCAGGAAACTTAGATGGAAAAAGTGTTAAATTTTGAGAGAGAGAGAGAGAGAGAGAGAGAGAGAGAGAGAGAGGAGGGAGGGAGGGAGGGAATAACACCACATTTCCATTTGTGAGGGTTTGTGACTCAGCTTTACTGTTCCTTTGTAGATCTGTAGGCATCTGTATGGCTATCTTCAGGGTGCAGAGGTTTGAAGCTGACTCTGAAATGAAGGACATTCAGTTACTATTTGCAAGTTCCAGGATAACTTAAAAGGCTCCAACTTCTGTCCCCCAGGGTCGGTAAGGTTTGCTGTTTGTTCCACCGCTGGTCTGCTGCGGACTGGAGGCGGCGGACACGGTTAAGGGCGGGCTGATGGCTGTGGCCGCCGCCACGGCGGCCGCTGCGTTTGGGGGCAGCATGGGGAACGCCCCTGCGAAGGACAGCGGGAAAGTGTGTGCGGCCGCGGTGGCCGCGGCAGCGGCGGCGTGCACGGTGGCAGAGAGGGACAGGAGGGAGGTGGACAGAGGGGGCACGCACGGGGCGACGCTGCCCGTGGATGGCATCCTAAGGGCAGAATCTGCATGGGCGAATGTGGCCGTGAGAAGAGCAGAGCCGTGGGCAGGAGGCACTTCTGAAGTTGTGGAGAGGCGACAAGGGGTTGACTCCGAGGCATGGAGTCCGTTGGGTTGGAGCAGGGCTGCAGGAAGATGGTGGAAGGCAGCGGCCCAGTGATGAGGATGCAGCGGGTGATGGTGGTGATGGGCCATGGAGGATGTCATTGCCGCTGCCTCCCGCTGGGAGGCGCAAGTGCTGAGATGAGAGACGAGGCGCACGCGCAGTGGATCAGAGGAGTCCAGGCCCTCCACGGAGCTCAGGTACCTGGCCACTTCTGTTAAGCACTCCCGGAATCCAATGCTCATGAAGTCCATGGCCAGAGCATGGGCGTCAAAGTAGCCTAAACAGGGTTTGAGAGGAGTGGAGGAAAGGAGAAAGAGTGAAAGGGAGAAAATTACACAGTTCTGAAGAAAAACGACTCACTGAAGCGCCACTCTGCCCTTTAGAAAGTATGGTTTTAATTTTTGCACACGAAGGTGTACTTTGAACCTTAAGTGTATCCTTTGTAACCTGAATGTGCAACAACTTGGCAACACATTATTTACAGTTGTCCTTGTAATGAAGTATCACCGAAGAGAAACTGATAATCCTATTGCAAATACTTGCAGGGAAAAAGAAAAATATCTTGACGAGTATTGTGGGATAATGACTTTCCCTGGTAAACTTTTTCACAAAAAAATAGAAAAACTCTCACAGAGCTGGATATTACACAGCTTACTTGAAATATTCTGAACTCTTTTCGAATTATAGCAGAGATATAAAGTATAACTTAGCAGATGGAGGACTTTGCCCAGAAATGTGCTAGAATCCAAATATATTCATAAGTGTTTCTTGACTCACAATGTTTTTTCTTCAGCAACAAAGTGAAAACATCTTGCCATTACTTTTATGAAATAAAAGTATGTATATAAGTATAACATATAATATTATAACATACATAATATATGTGTGTGTATATATATATCCCTTCATTACCTAGTTTTCATTTTTCTGGCATCCAATCAAAGGACAAAACGTACATCAATTGTATCTGTATGTACAAATGAAAATCATCCATCTATGATTACCATAAAAATGACGAGATTTGGGTCACCTTTATCAAAATTCCATTTTATTCAGAGATAACAGAATAGAAAATAGGAATAGCTGATACTTATAGTACCAATAAAGAACTTACTAATAGATAATTGGGTAAATGGCATCCTCTTTGAATGAGTGACCCCTAGTATGTGCAAATCCTTTCCAGATTCTTTCTCATTTGCAAGCATTTAAAAATTCCATTTAAAATATTTTATTATCTTTAAATGGTTGTAGATAGGAGTTGCCACATAAAGCAATTTATGAATACAATTCATCTTGATCAATGTCACCTCCTTCAATAGAAAGTTCTTTTCTTCTGTTGATCCTAAACTCAGGTCCTGGGCACTGTCCCTGAGCTTTGTCACTCAAGGCTAGCACTCTATATCTTTGAGCCACAGCTCCACTTCCAGTGTTCTGGTGGTTAAATGGAGATACGAGTTTCACCGACATTCCTAGCTAAGCTGGCTCCGAACTGTGATCCTCAGACCTCAGCCTCTTCAATAGCTAGAATTATAGGCATGAGCCACCAGCACCCTACAACAGCAAGTTCTTTATAAGTAATCATCTTTTTTTTTTTTAAGTTCTGGGATTTGAACTCAAGGCCACATATTTTCTAGGTAGGCACTCAGTCACTAAATGATATCCCCTGCACCCTTTTTCAACTGGCTATTTTAAAATATAATTGTATTATTATGATTAAGGTATTGAACAGTGGGGTTATCATTTCCTAAGTCAGGTAATGAGTACATTTCTTTTTGGACAATGTCACCCCTTTCACTATCTCCCAGTTTCTACCTTAAAAAGCTGCTTTTCCAGAAAGGATCTTGTTTCCTGCCTGGGCATGTGCATGGACCAGTCTGCTTTGCTTTGTGGCTGGGATGACATGTATGTACCACCCCAGCTTCTTTTTATTTAGATGAAGCCTCACAGTGTTTTGTGCCTTGGCTGTCCCGGAACCACAATTCTTCCAATTTCTGCCTATAGGATGAAAGGTATACACCATCACATCCAGTTAATGGTTGAAAACTTGTGCCTGAACTTGCCTTGACATGTTACTTTTCCATTCTCACCTCCTGAGTAGGTAAGAGTTCTCACCTTCTGAGTAGTTAGTTACTAGCATGAGCCACTGATTGGTACCTGGATTAAGTAATCTTTGATTAAAAATTTATTCATGGGGTGGGGGGAGGGAGGATGGGAAGGGGAAACAAAGGAGGAGGCTACAATGCTTGATAAGAAATGTACTCATTATCTTGCCCATGTAATTGTAACCTCTCTGTACAATATTTTCACAATAAAAAATTATTCATTTCCCAGATTTATATATACATGAATGAGAAATAGCTTGTTCAATAAGGTTATTTTCATCTAAGGTATTTATTATACTTTTTATTTTTATTTTTTGCCTATCAGAGTATTGCCTATTTTCTTTATCTCTAGTAAAATTAGATGATTTTAATCTATAATCAAAGCTTATTGAAAAAACACCCATGACATAAATTTAAAATCCTAACACTACAACAGAATTCTGGATGTTGAGAGAAAGTTATTTAGGGCAAATATATCCATCACTAAAACAGAAACAACAGCACCAAGTTGATTCAAGGAAACATCTTGAAAGGTAGCATATCAAAGCAAAACTAAGTTATCATCCTAGGACATGAGCATAGTAAGCAAAGCCCCTAGGATCAGGAGGAAACACTATTCCTGAAGGTGAGACCATCATGAAATGATTTTCATCATGGAATGATTTTGGTTCTTAGGATTCTGAGTAGGGGTTTTACAAGCTTCTGACTTCTATAGGAGGAAGAGAAGATGCTGGGCACTGGTATCTCATGCCTGTAATCCTAACGACTAAGGAGGCTAAGATCTGAGATTGCAATTTGAAGCCATCCTGGACAGGAAAGTCCAGGACACTCTCATCTCCCATTAACCAGCAGAAAACCAGAAATGGCACTGTGGCTCAAAGTGGTAGAGCGCTCACCTTGAGTGAAAGAGCTCAAGGCCAGGCTGCAGGCCCCTACAAACAAGAACAGCAGCAGCAACAACCACAAGAAGAGAGCAAGAAGGAGGGAGTTGATAATTAGAGAAGTCAAAGACCAGAAATCCAGAGGGATTTGAAAATTTACATTTCTTTGCCAAATCTCTAGAAATGACTGCAGTATTAGAATAAGAATGTAAAGAATGAACCAACAGAATTGGCACATCAGGAGAAGCTACAGATGTTCATTATTGGTCATGAGATAAGTAACATTTGTAGTTTGCCAGATAAATTACTATACATGGCTGAGAATTTGGATGCATCTGAAGGAATATAAATTGTGTAATCTGTAGCCTACTGTTGAATGCAGAGGGGAATATGGTGAGCAGCTGTCTCCTGTGAGTGGATCTTGGATCAACAATAATATGTGTCCACACCCACTTCCTCTGTTCCAGCATGGTTTGAAGAGCTTTTAAGTAACCCACAACAACCTGTGATGTGGACACTATCACTGTCCTTATTTTACAGATGATGAAACAGGCCTAGAGAGGGCTAGTAGGTTAGTCGAGGTTACAGAGCTAATAAATGATACAGCCCCAAAGTCACAATCAAACTTCCATTCAGAGTTCATAGCTTATGGTGCCAGATTAGGCAGCAGTTGGGATTCTTGACCATATGAGCCCAAACTGCCAAATCCCTTCTTCAAGGCCTCCACATTCTTCTGTGTGATGACTTCTCTAATGACCTGGCGCATGCAAGGAAATGTCTGCTCACAAACAATTCTGGGATGAATTTTGGGACTGATCAAGAAGCCAAGAATAGCAACCAAGATGAAATCCAGTTTTTATTATGAAGCCAAAGAACATTGCTTACTCTTTGGAAATACAACTCACATCAAATATTTGAAACCCTGATAACAATTCTCAGTCTCATGGTTCACAGTGCTAAATGTGGTAGAGCTAGAACACAATGTTTGCTATACCACAGCTATTCAAGTTTTCTCACACTCTTAGGTAGCAGATGTTGAGATAGATTCACTGTGTTGAAAGGGCTTTGTGGGCTCATTCTGCTAGTTTAATCCTCAGAGGGCCACAGGCTATTTCTGTTTTTGGTCAAAGATAGTGGCCAGGCTGAGCTGGATCCTAGAGTTTGCATTTATATACTACGCTAGTCTTTGTTCTCAGGAAAATATGACTTGAGGTATTTCAGACCAAATGAGCTTCCTACTCAATGATTACCCCATCACTTGACACAGAGAGAAAATGGTTAAAGTCAGGGCTGAGGTCCCAGGACTCCTCACCGTTCTAAAAAGTGACTTCTTTCCAATGTCCTGTTATACCCTGATCTAGTGATCCATCGGTGAGTAGTAAAAGGCTCATGCTGAGCAGAGGAAGCCTCCACTATATCACTGTACACCTCCTAACTTCTTGGCATACCTTCTCTTTATTCAGTTGTTAAATATACTGAGTAGTAGCACTCAGCTGAATTAAGTATCAATAGCTGTCTTGCTGGGTGAAAAAGCTATAAAAGAGGAAAAAGTCAAGTGAAATGGAAGGCAAAGTGGTACAATGAAATATGAATGAATGAACATTACACCTTTTAGTATCTCAAGTATATTTTTACTATAGGATGAGGGTCCCTCCCTGATCCTTGGAAAATTCTTCCCTAGAGTACTATCAAGTAGAGATGACACCTTCTTTAAGGCACTGGAGCTATGGTACCTATTCTGTCTCCTCTCAAATATAATCCATCTGTCCAGTTAATGGTGTCTAGTTCAGAGATTCATTATTTAACTTTAAATGTTCCATTTGGTATAAAGCCAAAACCAACTAATCTCTGAAAACAACTACAAACATCATTCTGGAGTTACTTCCTTTATAGTTGCTAAATTATTTGAGTCTCAGCCTTATTTGGTGAGAGAGAGAGACAGACAGAGACAAAGAGAGAGACAGACAAGAGACAGAGTCAGAGAGAGAGAAAGAGAGAGAGAGAGAGGAGGCACGGAGAGTCTAACAACCTCCTGTTTATGTTTGGATGTTTGTATATTTGTTTTTTCTTTCTGTACAGATTCCAGCATGTGCTTCTCAAATCCCAAACAAATCTTTGACCATGCTGCAGTGAATGAAGCCTCACTCCCTCAGTATTATGAAAGCAAACACAAGCCCAGGGTCAAGTGCTTCTTTTGTTCCAGAAGTTCTTTCCCACGAGTTCAATCCTGCCATTAGCATTGATTTCCACGGCTTTAATCTGGGGCCGCCTATTTTAGCTTGTTAGAAAACTGTTCAACTATGACTTCCATACAACATTAGAGGGAAAGATGAAAAGAGAAAGGTAGAAAGGGGTAAAAAAAAAAACAAAAAACCACGGGGCGGGGGGAGGGGTGAAGTCTGGAAATGTGGCTTAGTGGTAAAGTGCTTACCTAGCATGTATGAAGCCCTGGGTTCAACTCTCCAGTACAACACACAGAAAAAGCCAGAAGTGGTGCTGTGGCTCAAGTGGTACCCTTCAGTGAAAGAAGCTCAGGGACAGTGCCCAGGCCCTGAGTTCAAGCCCCAGGACTGGAAAAAAAAACCCACAAAATGAAGCCACCTACTTACCTTTACCTCCTGTTGCTTGAAGCATTTTCAAATGATCCACTGTCATCTGCAATATTTCAGCTTTTTCTAGCTTCGCAGAGCCCTTCAGAAACAAATAACGTCTCATAAATTCTACAGAAACTACCTTGGAACATTATATTTGGTATTTAGAATTTAGTATTATTGTTTCCATTTTTCCTTTCATTACAAGACTCTAAGGTTAATTCCTTCACAGAAAAATCTAAATTCTGTCCAGACTTACATGAGAGTACTAATTATCACCCTATTACAATGAATGACAGACATTTCTCATCTGAACCTAAACACCAAAAAGAAAGACATAAAATGTTATTTGCAAAATAATAATTATATTTCTAGTATCATTTCACAAAACCCATTCTAGTCATAAATTCTCAAACTGTGTTCCATCTGTCTTAGTTATATAGGGATATTCAGTAATCACAATGTTGACGTCTAGATGAGTTGAATAGTTTCATTAACTCTGGAAGATAGGCAGTAGTAATTTTAGCAAATTACTATTAAAAGTAAATTATTCAAAAATAGTAAGTTCTAATAAACTTTTAGAGTAATTCATAAAATACCACCACAAACCAGAACTCAAAAGAGAAAAAGAAAAAAAAAAAACCAATACTTTCAAGGTTACCACCAGGTGTCACTGTGAATGCCAAGATCACACTCAGAGAAAAAAATAAGGAAATGATTTACAGCTTATTTAATAAGCAGTCCCAAAGCTTAAGTATTTCTGAAGCTTTACAAATAGTTTTTAATAAAATAGTCTTGCAAATATACTTTTATTGTCACTCTTTTTTAAAATAAGGCGACCTCTTAAAACCATTTTAAACACAAATCCAATGCTTACAACTGTCTGTGAGGCCTATGGTGGCTTCTAATTTCCTGAAAGAGCTACATAATCACACCCACCCTCCACAAAAAAGTTTTAGAAAAATATTCTAAAAGTTTATTCTAGGTCTCTATTCTATGCTTTGTCTTTTGAAAATTATTAGCACCCAGGATATGGGAAGTGTGTCAGCTATTTAACTGCTCTAAAAAACACTCTCCTAATCATATTGTAAATGGGCCAGCTTGCTAGGGTAGGTAGCCAAACTCTGCAAAAGGGAAAGCTTGTGTTTATGCTAAATGACTGCCAAAAAACTCAAGTTTGCTCTTAAGGTTTGTTTAAAGTCAATATTTAAGGGGAAAAAAAAGTCTACCAAAACAACAACAACAAAAAATTGCCAACTGCTTCTCCTAACTGCAAACATTTCATGATTCAGATGTAAGAGAAAAAAAAAAAAAGAAAAACCACAAAACATAGATTACTGACATTTTCATTTGGAACTAATTGTCATTGAAGCTTCTACAAATCAAAAGGATAATTTCCATTATATTTAGGTTATCAGAGACAGTCTCAGCATATCAATTAGTTATCCTTTTTATCTTAAAAATACATAATTAAAAGCATATTGCATTCTGTGCCTTTGTCACTGTTCAGCATTTCCGTGAAAATGTGTGAGTTAGTTCCAGTGAAAGTGACTAGTAACTAAAACTGCAGTTTCTGGACAATCTCCAGGGGCTTTGTAGGCCTTGTTTTATACTGTTAGCAGATTCACGAGGTAAACAAAAAGAATATACAAATAACTGTGGTTTTGTACCCTATTTGGAATTCAATTGGAAATATTTTTAACAAGGATATATTACCATATCCTTTGAAAGATACTTTTAGAAATTTCTCTCATTAGCCACTGTGGCAGGATTAGAGCACAAATTTTCTAAAACTCCAAAGCAGATTGAAAAATTTATCTTTTTACTTGTCTTAAATATGCAGAATTAACTCCTGCACCTTGTAAAGAAATACATGAACTCTGAAAATTGCCACTTGATTTTCTATGTGATTTGATTCTTACCAAACTTCACAAATATGTCCCAAATGTAAGATTGTTCTATTACAATCCAGAGCTTAAAAATGAAAGTAAGGAGCTTGGTAAATAAATTTTATTAATGCTATCATTTAGAAAAGAGAACAAGAGAAGTTATGTTCTTGGATTTGACTTTTTTTTAAATTAAAGAGTACTTTTTAAAAACAGTGAGAAAAATATTTCTCGTGTGTGTGTGTGTGTGTGTGTGTGTGTGTGTGTGTGTGTGTATTCATGTATATGAAGACTGCTACATACAGTGCAGTTTTAAATAAAACCACTACTGGTATTCATAGAAAGAACAGAGAAAGCATGAATACTGTTACCCTTAAGGGAGAAATAAGCTAAAGAATGGAAATGTTTTTCAGCTCCATGATGGATTATGTTTTTAATAGTTTTGCCACAACAAAGCATTTTATTGAAATAGCTGCTCTGTGCCAGATCAGGGCACATACACCATTATTTTAATGAGCTCTAACAAGAAACCGCATTCCCAGATGAGAGAATCAGATTCTTTGAGCTTTTTAGGGGGTGGGGAGAGAGGAGGGGAGAAGCTTACTTGTTTTTCAAAAGCCGTTGGCACCAGTCGTCTCAGCTCAGATAAACTGTTATTTATCCGATCCCGACGCCTTTTCTCTATAATCTATTCCAAAGAGAGCAAAACAACAGAAGTTTATGAATATGTAAATGAAGAAATTACATACAATAGCAAAACACAACAATTACGCATTACACTGGATTGCATGAAATAGAAAAGGAGAAAAATCACATACCCCTCTTCTCTTCTTTCTTGCCATAATTTGAGATGTTGTTGTTGGAGAATTCGATCTAATCACAGAGCTAGTACTTTGCCTATGAAATAGGAAGAGTTGGTCAGCTGTTGTATTAATATGATAATTGTTTCTTTTGGTTATTTCATTTCACTCATTAAATATCCAGGGTGATTGTACCTTTGTTGTCTAGGCTATCTTAGTCTTAGTTTCCTTCCTTTGTTCTTAACATAGTTCACTGCCTGTCAGCCTTTTTTTTTCAGGTAGGAATTATGCTGGTTAAAAGAAAAATTTAGTGGACATCTAGAAATCCATTCTATTGCCCAAAGTTTTCCAGTGAAATAATTACGGGCAGTCGGGGTGGAAGTCAGCTATTAATATTTCCTATTTCCACTCATGTATATTTCATAAAAGTCAACTACTCTAATAGCATCCCTCCTCCTCCTGCTGTCTGTCACACATGCTGAACAAAAGCAGTATCACTTAAAAAAGCAAGGATCATATAAAACATCAGCAACAAATAGTCATGCTATGTGAAACTGATGTCCCGAGATGAAGCCTTTAAAACAAACAGAAATGATCATACCAGTTCAAAACTTCTGTTACATATTACAAAAGGGGGGAAAGGATAAATTGGACTGTTTGTACACTCAAAGATTATCCTAAGATTCTGTCAATGGTACAGAAATGAAAATTACATGATTGGTACCATGTACATGCTTTACTTTGAAAATGAAACTGTGGTGTCTCTCAGCCTTCACACTAAACTTATCTTTCTAGAAGCAGAAAGCGATCTTGAATTTCATTAATGGAAACGGTACTTTCATATTAAAAGTTCAATCAAATTATTATTTGCTCACATAAGTTTACACTTCTTTCTAGTTTGGATCTATTTCCCTTGGTAATTCAAGGATAACATGCCTCCTTATGGTTTCAAATTCTCCAAGTCCTGTTATTTGTTCCCTTTCATTGTAGGAATGTTGCACACACCAGGTTCCTATTACCTCACCTTCTCACTTCTGGATCTTGTTTCTGAACAACTATCCCCTCCATTCTCACCCCTTCCCTACTGGTTTCACCTTTCAACTGATATCTTCCGTTCTTCAGACCTTTTTTTTTTAAGACGACATAACAGTTCAATTCCTTTTATAAGAGGACTTTGGTGACTTTGCTCTTGATGTTTCTGGATGGTTTGTACGTCTTAGATTTAAGAACATGCAAGGAAACTTGCATGTTCCCAAACGCAGGAAGAATTTCGCTCTTTGAATGACAGCTGCAGATCAATAATTAAGGTGCTCCTGGGATGCCAATTAGAAGCAATTATCATTTGACCCGCCTTGCCTCTAAAATGCCTCAGTAATCTCCCTCTGTCACCGAAGGTCTGGCTTCTGTAATCACAAGGCCGATCTTTTCCAGACTTAAGAACAAACCACTCAAAAGAAACGATGCTCGCCCCAGCCGCACATCTGTCACTCAGGCACGCGGCTGAGCCCTAATCACAGACGGTGAAACCTGCACGGCTCAACCCACTTGGCGCAGATCGCTTGGGATTCTCCAAAACTCAAGTCGTGTTCTTAGCCTCTCTACAAATAAAAGCTCAACCCAGGGTTTCTTTTCTTTCCTCCTGACCTACTTTGGAAGTGCCCCCAAAACCAGCGGCTGCAGCTTCTCCAGTCTCTAGGACGCACCTCCTACCCGCGCGCCGCGCCTCTCGCCGACAGCCGGGGACCCTCGGTCACCAGCTCCCCGAACGCTCCCTTTCGGCGGGTCGGGTCCCTGTTCCCCTCCGCCCCACCCCGAAGGCGAGCACCCACCTCCGTCGCCACACCCCAACTCTTCCCCGCCCCCCCCCAGCACCTTCAACGCACAGCTTCCCCAGTCCAACTTTCCCCTCCTCTGCAGCAGGAAGTTGCAAAAAAAAAAAAATGAACAGGGACCCTGGGAATGTCCTAGGAGCCGCGGGATCCCAGGGCTCCCCGAAACCGTCCAGCGCCGAGCATCTCCGGCCCAACTCGCGCGCGCTCACCCCGAGTAATTGTTCTCGCTTCCCACGTCGATCGTCTCGTCCATGTCGCTCTCGGAGGTCGTCTCCTCGCAAGGGCGCTTCATCGCGGCGGAGACGGCCCGAGGTGCAGCCTGGAGGCAGCCGCCGACGCTGAGGCTGAGCGGGGCGCCGTGCCCTCCCCGCCCGCCCCCTCCCTGGCAGGCGCGGCTCCCGCGGCGGCGCGGTCGGCTACTCCAAGCTCTCTTTCCCACGCCGCGACCCAGCTCTGCCGCAAGAGCCGGCGCCGGCCACGCCCCCCTCTTCGCGGGCGGGGGACCCCCTCGCTCACCGCGCGCTAGTCTCCGCCACCAGTTTGGCACCGCCTCCTCGGGGGCCGGCGTGGTCTGTGATTGGATGAAGCAGAGGGGCGGGGAAGAGTCCACCAATGTCCGCCACGAGGCTCCGAGAAAGGCGTGGGAAATGCTGCCGGGCACCTGGGACTGGGAGCGGCTCACCGACGGTGAAGAGGCAGCGGCGGCGAGCGGGCGGCGCGGGTTTCCCGGCACCAGCTCGTGAAGCGCGCGGGCGCGAACGGGGGCGGGCGGGCGGGAGAGGGGCGGGCTCTGGGCTTGGGATTGGGTCTCTTCTGCACACCCGGTGGTCTCGCCCCGGGAGATTCAGTCCTGTGTTTAAAGAACAACCCCAGGCGCGTGGCTGAACGCGACCGGGCGCGTGTGACGTCGGGAGGCGCCGCGGTTTAACCGAACCGCCCCGCGCTGTGGTCCCACGTCTGCACCAAAACCCAATGACTGGCTGGCCCGATTATTCACGTGTATCCCCTGGGGTTTGTTGTTGTTGTTTGAATAAACCTTAAATCGAAGTTGATTTTCCCACTGGCCACGCTTGGGGCTACTTCGCGTCGCCGTCTGAGTTGTGATTTAATGTTTCCCACGTGGTCTTACACTGGGTGGCGATCGCAGGAGTCTGCGAGGTCGGCCAGATGAGATCGGTCACTTGCGACAACTCCCTTCCTTCTGGATCGCGGGTGCGTCTGTTCCGATGGTGGGAAGGGCTCCGCGCCAGGCAGCCGCGATTTCGGAACACAGTTCCCGGAGGTTTTCCAGTTCGTGTGGCTCGGGCTTGGGTTATCCGAATAAACGTCTCCAGTTCTCCCCCTCCCCGGCTCTTGGCAGTCACCGCCGCCAGGGACGGGAAGACGTCGTGCAGGAGAACTGAATGTCTACAGTACTAATTCCTGCCCGGTAGTTCTCGGTGCGTTGGGGACGCGGAGGGTCGCGGACGCGTCTGGCCGGGTTCACGAGCCGACGTCGGAGCTGCTCTTTTCCACGTCCTCTGGGATTTCTGCAGAGGCCGCACCGATGCGTTTCCACCCGGGCAGGAAGTGAGAAAGGTCGAGCCGGGGGGGGGGGAAGCCCGGGGGAGCCGGGGTCCGCTTTCCCGCCCAGGCGTTGCAGTATTGGCGCGTTGGTTGGGGTCCAACCCCAGACTCCACGTGTTGCACGTGGACAGCTCGGTGCTTGGGATGGGGTGGTGTGTGTGGGGGGGGGGACTTTGCAAAAGAGGCGTCTATCAATCGTCACAACGCCCCGCCGCGGGCGCCTGCGAGTCTTCCTGGACGATGCGCCTACGACAGCTTCCCTTTCAAACTCGGGTCTCTCCCCGCGCTCAACTCCAGTGGGAAAGAGGCGACTGGTGGCAACCACAGGACCCGGGCGCGGACTTGGCCAAGGGAGAGGAGGAAAAGGCGTCGGGACCACACCGGGGTTAGCGCACCCAAAAGCACAAACAAACCCCTTCCTCTTACGCCCTGGTCTTTCCCTTTTTCCATGGGCACCGCGATGCCTTCAATTACCGTGTGAACAGAAATCCGAAACTTTCTATCCCCACTTCTGAAACTTAACCCCCAGGCAAATCACACAGTCGGCAGGGACCGGGGTGGGGCCTGGAGAGGCCTGGTGGGGCCTGGCGGGGCGGGCTGGGGTCAGTACTGGACCGCAAAGCTGCAGGTGGTTGTAGCTCTCCATCTTCGCGATCTGCCTCCAAGCCGGTGCCTCGCCAACGCCGGACACCCAGCCTCTGCCGCGCCCCAGCGCTGGTGACCACCGGGGAGCTCGGCGCCCTCGGCCAGCGCAAAGCCCGCGGCCGGCACGACGCTCAGCCCGGGTCCCCCGCAGTCCCGCTGAGGGTGAGCTCCGAGTCCTCCGGTTCCACGCCTGACTTCCCCGGCGCGCGCTCAACCTTCGCAACCCAACGAGGGCTGGCCGGGATTTCCCCCTCCTCAAAAGCCAAAGTCCACACGTGCAACTAACGTTTGCCACGGGAGCAAATTAGCGGGCGCTTCCATATGCCCTAGGCAAAACCTGAAATCATCATGGCAAAACAACCCAAAACAAAACCCCACCAACCCAAGACTCCCCCCGCTCCGTCACTGAACTTGTGTGTTTAATTATACTGTTTGTAAAAATCTGCAGCGGGAAAATGGTATGCTGGCAATAAAGTAGCAACTGGTTAAAGTTTTTCCATCTCTGTCTTTGAAGACTTAACCGCTGCACAGTGTCATAAAGAAAAATGTAGCAGAGGCGTTCGAAAAGCACACACGAGTTTAATGTCAGTTTAGAGAAAGTAGAGACTGTGTGTGTGTGTGTGTGTGTGTGTGCGCGCGCGCGCGCGCGTGTGTGCGTGTTTAGAACAGGGTTTGGTACATTTTGGGTCTGTTAAAGAATGCATATGGCGAAAGATACTATTATGAACAGTTTCAAAACAATGTGTTCATTTATCTTTATTCCCTGAAGTATTCCGTGTGCCTACCGGGAGGCGAGGCACTCTGCCTATCTTGGGTCTGTGACTGGATAAGGAAGCAAAAGAGAGACATTTTTAAAGCTCCCCAACTTGTCCTTCTGCGTACTTAAAAATGGTGGGTGGTAGAAGGGGAAGTTGTAGAGGTGTTTCAGCCTGGGAAAAAAAATAGAGCGGGGTGGGGGGGGGTTGGGGGGGACTTAGAGAATTAGAGGACCATGGGATTTGAAAACTCATTCCCCTTGGGCCCTAGGCGACAATCTTTTCAGAGAAAGTTGATGGAAGGTTTAACTGAGGACCATTGCAAAAGAAAAGACATCCACACGCAAAGCCAACTGCTGTTCTTTGTTTTTGGAAGATTTGAACAATGAAATAATTAGGCCGATAGAGAGGATTGGGGTAGGGAGGAGGGGTGTGGGGGTGGGGAGGATCGACTTAAAAAGGAAATGCCATTGAGAAAGAAAGGCTAGGAGGACTGATCTAAAAAGAGGAGGGAAAAACCCCGTCTAAGTTACCTCCTAGGCGTTTTATGCTTGCATACTTTATTTAGCTCCCTTAGCGGCTTGAGATCTGGAGAGGTCTGGAAATGACTGATTCAATGGTTTGGGTATTTTCCTCACAGGACTCTCCTTATCTGGTCATTACAGTTAGTTTTCCCACCTATATTGGTTAAGTCTGGCCACCTCGACTAAGTCTTGTCCCACAAAATTTTGAGTTTTGTTACACAAACTAAAGTACTGATTGCTTGGCTGAGATTCTAAAATTTCCCTTGCAGCATTTTGGAAATACATGGAGATATTTTTCTTTAAAAAGTAATTCTTGATCTGTTTCTTTCTGCATGTTCTAGAGCCCTCTAGTTTTCTTACCATCTGTTGGCACACTTTGACTTATTGTTTCCGAGTCTTTATAATTATTTAGAAAATATGTGCTGCTCCAGCTTAGAAAATAATCAAGCCAGGGTAATACTACTTTTAAGTGTTTAAATTTATTTTTTTTCAGTGAAATAAGTGCACTTCTATTATTTAGAGACCTTGAGATTAGTTTTGAGCAGTCTAAATGAACATATTTCCAATTGAGAAGGAAGTCTAATAATTTGCCCCCTTTGAGATGTAATTATTTACCCTAGCTTTTTCTGGCCAAGGAAAGACAATCTGATTGTTCTGATAAATGCTAGTCTATTTGCAGTTGCAGGTAATAAGCCCATGTGTACGTGTGGGCAGGCTTATTAGACTGTCTTTGCTGAGTACAAAGCTATTGTGAGCCCTCAAGGCACTAAGATGTGAGAGAATGCTGCTCCTTGGGAATGGAGGCCAAAGGCAAGAACCTTGTAAATTTCAATACCTTTCTGCAAATCAGGGTGGCTGCAGGCAGGCTAATCCAGGGTCACTATACGACATAAATGAGTAAGCCAGTAAAGTAAAACAAATCTGACAAACAGGGAAGATTTAGACCTACCAACCTTAATCTAAAAGACAGTTGCTGTTCACATTCACAAATTATTCTTCTCTGGTCAGCCATACAAAGTGCTTATTTCTTGGCTTATCTTCATAATAGCTACTTATGTGTTACATCATCAACTTCAAGGGAGAAAGTCTTAACATTCAAAACTCTTTTTTTTTTTCTGAAAGTAGCTTTGTCTGAGTTGATCTCTGGGGCAGTTTATTTAGATGCTTTATTTTGGCATTATTAATGTTCTGTACTTAACCTATTCCCAAGGATGAAATCTGGTTTTATTGCAGGACCCTGGAGAAGAGGGTTGTACCACAAGGAACTAGTTTTCCATACCCAAGTAAGCAACAGCCAGAGATATCAACACTCATTGAATTAACTGAAGTCTTCATGGGGGGTTAAATTGATGTTGACAGGCTTTCTTTTAAGGAACGTTCTTAAATTTCCATATTTTTGAAGTTAGTTTGTATGGCAGTTTTCCCCCTCCCTCTTTTAAGGATACAGTGAAATAAATTCACTGCTTTCATGGAAATGATCTTTTAACTAACTATATCTTACAATGCCTGGCATATGGTGGTTTGGAATGAATTTTATGATAAAAATGAATGAACACCCTCTTCATTTCCATAGATATAGTTTAGATACATTGTCAAAATAAAATAGAATTAAACAGCCTAAACTAAAAGGTCATGAAAATGTGCAAATAATTTATTTAAATATTAACAGGAAATCATTTATTTTGAATGGGCCTTTAGTTCAGCTCTGATCTTCCTGGAGGCTGATGCAAAAGAAACGCATTGTAAATTTTCTGTTTTTTATAGTATGAAAAGTGAAAGCACATACTTCTCAAAAATAAATAAGTAAGTAAAAAGAAAAAAAGGAAAGCCTTTACCCAGTCACTAAATTCGACAAGGCTTGTATTGATTGACTTGGCCACAGATTGTATAAGTTTATTTTAATTATCTGAAATAATTAGTTTCTTGGTCTAAAATGCTCTTTCAATCATCAC